AGGCAACAGTCTCTGACAAAGGCCAAAAAAATACCAACTGAAATATCATTTGGTTGTGAGATACATTAAATCCATTTGAGTGATATTACTCATCAGGGGAATGCTATTTTTTTGAGCATGTTTGTCTTTTCATTTGTTTTTTCAAAGTGTCATGTCATTCTATCTTGAATTTAGATGTCTTCTATTGCTAGCTTGTGTAGTTTTCAGCCAAGCATCACAGAAAGGAACTTTTCTTCTCTCAGGGATGAACATTACAATATCCATCAAGTGTCTTTCCATGGCAGATCCTAGATAAACCACATACCTCATTAGCAGGTGCATGATTACCTTTTTTATCCCCAGCTTTGGGTTATTGTTATTTTTTCTCTGAGTTGCTTGAGGCCAGAAACAGAAGAAACAATCTGGAGTACAAACCCTCTCAGTTAACCTGACAATAACCCTGATACAAGAGTGCATTATTTTTTTAAAAAAAGCTGGGATGTTCCTAATTGCATGATTCTTATATTTAAGGCACAGTTGACTGAGTTTTCGGTTGATCTTGGCCTTCTCATTGACCCGAGGCAGTAAATTCTTCCTCCCTTTATCCACAGCTTCTTCCTTTTGCTGTTCAAATAGTTTGTCAGCAAATTATCCAGTTAATAAAGAGCCAGCGATGACAGTTTTGCAAAACATAGTGGGACCTAATTGAGCCTGATCAATCTGCAAGCAAAACAAACAGAGAAAGAGAGAGGGAGAAGAGGGGAATGTGCTCAGAAGGGTAAAGAGAAATTGGTTAATGAATTCCAAGACTCCCTGGTGCTTAAAGACAAACCAACAATTGAATTATATACTGTATGTAATTTATTTAAAAATAGAATAAAGATGAGCATTAGTTAAGTGCCAAAACTGTGGAACACAGAATTTGACTATCCAATCAATGGGTGTTGGCTTTAAGAAATGTAAAATATATTTAGTATTTTAGTATTTATTTGATTTGTCAATCGCTTACAAGATACAGGTATAAGAATAAATATAGTTATGAATACATGAGATAGATACTTATAAGAAAAATAAAAAAACAATAGGACAGGGACGGTAGGCATGATGATGCGCTTATGCACACTCCCTACAGACCTCTTAGGAAAGAGGTGAGGTCAATAGTAGACAGTCTAAGGTTAAAGTTTTTGGGGTTTGGGGAAGAAACCACAGAGTCAGGTAGAGTATTCCAAGCATTGACCACTCTGTTGCTGAAGTCGTATTTTCTGCAGTCAAGTTTGGTGCAGTTAACCTTGAGTTTGTATTTATTGTGTGCTCTTGTATTGTTATGATTGAAGCTGAAATATTCCTTTGCAGGTAGGACATTTCAATGTATGATTTTATATACTATATTTAGATCGGACCAGAGGTGGCGTAGTTCTAGGTTTTCTAGGTCTAGAGTTTCAGGTCTGGTGGCATAAGGTATTCTGCAACGAGTAGAGGAGCGGAGAACTCTTGTTGTGAAAAATTTCTGGACATTTTCAATTGTGTTAATATTAGATACATGATATGGGTTTAAATATGATTTAAAGGATAAAGATAACTCATCAGAAAAGATTACTTCATGTCTAAAAAATGGATGTTTAAACAAGGTTGGATGTCAAATTTGTGTGTGTGTGTGTGTGTGTGTATGTATGTGTGTGTGTGTTGGCATTTAAAGAAGTTTTAGGGTTCTTTATATGATTTAGTCTTGTCCTATCATGGCTATTATGTATGTATGTATGTTATATGTATGTATCTATGTGTGTATGTATGTAAGGATGGATGGATCCACCATCACACATATCATTCTCAAATTTATCCTTCTTCAGCTTTCTCAATCCTAGTATTTTTCAAATATATGGAATGTATTACCCATAGTAACCCATTAAAGTAGTGAGATACTGAACAACAGTGCCCACAGAATGCCACAAGACAACAAAGAATGATAGCACATGTGCAATGATATTGTGATGTTAATCTTAACCTTATATTCAGGATCTAGCCTTGCAAAGTTTGAGAACCTCTTGACTTATTATTGTTAGGATTTGTTGCGTTTCTTATGATAATGCAATTTCAAAATGATACGTTAGTGTGTCATCATTTTTAACTATTACAGTAATTCTCATTTTGAAGGTTTAACATGATGAATAATTGTTAGAATTATCACTGAAGTTCCTGTCTGATTTAGATTAATTTTTATTGAATTGTTCCTGAGGTAAACTACCTGGAGTGATGCATAATAAGAGCAATTAATAAATTACGATTTGTAAATCCTAAGGGTTGAGTTCGCACAAGATTGTCCTAAAGCAGAGCGGATAACTGTGTCTCCAAAGCCACGGGTAGCATCCACCTTTTTTTCTTGGGGTCTTTAGCTTCAATTCTGATGGCCACGACTACGGTAAATGAGATGAAGCGTCTTTCCACATGGATTGGTGGAAGGAACAAAGGAACAATGGCAAAAAAGCCTAACCCAGTTTAACAATTAGTTCTACCTACTTTTGCCTTGTAGCTGTTGAAGCCATTAGTCTACCCCCCCACCCACCCCCCACACACATTATGAAGGCACCATAACGTTGTTCACCTGTGTGTTAAGGCAATAAATAGACCCAAAATGCATTCAGATCTGTTCTTCTGTTTTGTCTACTAGGGGTTGTTTTTTCTGGAATTATGCAAATACATGCATACGTGCTACCGGCTTGCCCTTGAAAAGAACACCTTCCCTGTGAGGGAATGTCTTTTCCTAATGGGTTGTTTTACAAAAACTGGCAAAGAAGGTGAGACGACCGTAATGCCCCCTTGAGCCTGGGAGGAACTTACAAATGCCTACCAAGTAACGTTGGGGCCGCCTCCTCTCCGAGACCGTTCTTGGAAACAATAAGCTTCAGTGTTTCCACCAGATAATGGACATGTTAGAACAGATGGAGGGGTTAGCTCACCTTGTTTGTCTGCCAGCCTCCGAAGAGCACACCTTTTCTCTTTTGGCATCATTGACAGGTTTCATCAGCCAAGGCAAGCCTGAATTCACCCCGAGTGCTATGGAACAAAAATGTAATTACTTCTGTCATTCAGTTAAGTGGTGAATAGTTTGCGTACTGCGTTGTGACTGAGAGTTAATTCAAATCCATCATACTCACAGGCTCAACTTCTTCTGCCACAGATGGGATGATTATTATTATTATTTTTTTTTAAAAAAGAAGGTTTGGAGCCAAATACACACATATATACACCCGTTCACCCACACCCACGCATTGGCACATAATGTGCACATTTTTTCCCATCATGTTTGTCTGAACAGTCAACGAGAATGTGGATTATCAATTATTAGATGGTAGTGATGATAGAGATGTTCATTTTTTCCAAGAGGTGCCGGTAAATAAGAATTATGGGGCCAGACATTTTCCTGCCAAACATTTTCCATTTTGAGATGATTTGGAGAGAAGTGGGACCTGAATCAATGTCTATAGAGATTCTCAGTCATCCAGGTAATGGTCATCCCAAAGGTGCTTTTTCAAGAAGCAAGTGGAGTTCACTCAGAGCTGAAGAAGCTTCTTGGATGAGAAGCAAAACCTCTTCAGAGAAAAACCAGAAAGTCCAGTTGCCTCTTGAAAAAGCACCTTTGGGACGACCTGAACCAGTGATTAATATCAGAGTTAAAGGAGAAGATCGAAGCTTCCTTTGGGAATATACAATATTTGAGAAAAGAATCTTCATTAACCATTTAACAAAAAACTTGTTTCATAAAGAACTCAAATCAGAGGCAGAAATTTTAGCACCAAGATGACCAGATTAGAAATGATGAGGTGACATCAAATGGCTACAAGGAGAAGTCTTCCTTGCAGTCCTGTATATGAATACTTAAAGGTAGCCTCCATTTTATTTATTTATTTATTTTGACAAATACTTACAATATAATAGAAATAAGAATAAACATAAGTTTAAATATAAGAAATAGGAACTAATAATTGGGGACAATAGGACAGGGACGGTAGGCATGATTGTGCGTTTATGCACACCCCTTACAGACCTCTTAGGAATGGGGTGAGGTCAACAGAGGTTAGTTTGAGGGTAAAGGAGTGGGGGTATGAGCAGGTGACAATAGAATCAGGTAGTGAGTTCCAGGCATTGACCACTCTGTTGCTGAAATCATACTTCCTGCAATCAAGTTTGGAGCAGTTTACATTAACTGGTAAGACATTGTAACATATGATTTTATGTACTATGCTTAAATCCAATCTGAGCTGGCATAGTTCAAGGTTGTTTAAGCCTAGAACCTCAAGTCTGGTGGTGTAGGGTATTCTTTTGCGAACAGAGGAATGTAGTACTCTTCTGGTAAAACACTTCTGAACTCTCTCAATTGTTTTTATGTCTGATATACAGTGCAGATTCCAGACAGCAGAACTGTAATTCCATGGCTATTACTTCCAGATTCATTGATATAAGATTGTAGTCTTAATGTATGTATGATCCATGATTATGTCCTTCCATGAAGATGTGTCTTCTAGTACAGGACATGCCCTTAAGATTCTTCTCCAAGTTGACCTATACTTTGTGCAACTGTATGCTATCCAAGGCTTTATCTGATACCATCATCATTGTCTGGAGTTATCTAGCAAGTTGTAGTATGCTTTTAAGGTATATGGGAATGCAGGCTATTCGTTATCTTCTGTCTCACTATAGCTATAGGTCATAGAATCAGAGGACTAGAAGGGACATAAATACATAAGAACATAAGGAGTGCTCTGCTGAATGAGACCTCTGACCCATCTAGTCTACCAGTTTGTTCTCCATAGTGCCAACCAACTTTACAAGGAAGCTGACAATAGATTACTCTCAGAGGCAGTCCACTGCCATCAAAGCCAATAGTTATTGATCCCTAGCTAAGTTGATAGCCATCACCCATCACATATCAAAGTAATGTATATAAAGGGACTTCTGCTCCGTGGAAGCTTGGATGTTAAGGAAGAAAGAGAGGAGAGAGAGAGAAAATTCCATTGACTCCTTTATTTACACATTTTATTTTTTAATTAAAAAATAAAGGTTATCTTGATACAGTTCTTTGCAGCATATGGGCAAAAAAAAAAGCACCCTTTAACAAGACTGTAGGAAACAAGATGGTTATCTAAACTTTGGCACACAGGACTGGAAAATAAAACGCAATCCCTCTCCTGCAATTTTTTTTCCTCTCAGGTTCATGATTTGTTTTCCTGGGTGAATGGTTTAGTGCTCTTTACCTGCATTGCTAAACAGGAGAAACAGTTCCAAGGTGGGAAATGGCAACCACCACAACAACAAATGGAACCTTCCAAAACTGATGGAAAGAGATGGACATGAAGACTCTTCCTGAACTGATCTGGAGTAGAGGATTCTGGGAGTTGAAGTCCACAGGTTTTAAAGTTGCCAAAGTTGGACACCCTTGATCTATATTGTTATAATTGTATGAATTTGGCTCCATCCACCAAAGGGTGAAGAACTTCAATCCCAATGACTGCATCAAAGCCCTGCCCCTCCCTTACGTGTATCAGATGTGCAACTTGGTAAAATAAGGGCACCAGACAGTTGTGGGAACCCTCTTGACTCTTCTGACAGTCTGGTTCGCAGGTATTTTTTTCTTTAAAAGCTGGATTGCATCACAATAGCATATCTATTTGCTGGAACTCATTACTCAGAAGAATATAGTTAATTGAATAAGTGATGACATTTCCCAACGTGTGAGCAAGCCTGAATCTCACACGGCTTGTGAGATTGGGCTGTTTCCAGTAATGACTACCCTGACAAATTTCATATCCAGTAAACTGACCTGATCTTTGTTTCATCCATTTTGCAAATAGATAAAAATTCAGTAACTCTGGAGCTTCTGCCATCACCAACATTTTAATACAATTCTTGGCACAAAGGCATCAAAAATACTTGCAAACCTTTACCTTGAGGGAACAAACATTTAAAAATACAAATGGTGTGTAGGAGCAAATAACATTTTTTAAAAAACAGCTTTCAAATACGATTTTGATGCACACTTTGGATGCTTTGTTTAAAACGATGATTTCATTTTTAAAAATGGAAGAAACTTACAAAGGAGATAGCAACAGAGGCTGAAGGAAACTCTTAGCTGCTGCTCCTTAACATAAACTGGCCAGAGGTGAACATATAAAGGCTAAACTGGCTTTTGATTATGGCAGCTTGAATTCTTAACAATTCATTGCACAGTTACCCCTCGGGGAAATATTATATTCTAGTGTTTTGCTTGCTCTCCTATTAACTTCCACTTCATTTCCAGGGTAATACAGTATTCCAGATGATTGAAGGAAAAACTTGCTTTAGAGCTCCAGTCATATTCTCTGTACCGAAAGAAGCCATTAAATTGTATGCACTGTCATTCTGCTCAAGGGTCCTCCAGAAGAAATATGTCAATCTGGCAGTGATCCAGTTGTGGAAGACTCTCGTGCAAGATCTTTTCAGGATACACTTATGCCCAAGTGGATCACTTCTCTGTCTCCAGTACCACCACACAAGCCTTCTTCTACTAAGTTAAACCCAGACCACAGTCTAGATAGAGGGGACTGGAGACTGCTATTATGTCACCTCCCTCTTGTTATTGCCTTTCTACTCAGAGAAGCAAGTTGAGTAAATAGCAGAGTTGGGCTGGCAGTATCCATTCAGATTTGCCACTGATCATCTCCAGAGAACTTGATGTGCTCCTCAAAATTCCAGCCTCTGATGTTGATTCTGGTATTGTATGGAACAATATAATTTACTTACAGTGCAATGAGGATAAAGAGCAGCCAGTATGGAGCTGTGTGTATCAGCCATAGTTCTGGATCGCAACTTCAGCCTACTAAATTACTAAAATCAGCCCCTGATCATGGTTGATCAAATCAATGTGTTTGCTGTCAAGGCAGCTCTTCCTAGGACATTTGCTTCTTCTCCCTCGCCTGGTGGCTTAGATGATCTTTTAGAAAATTAGCTCACCCAAGACTCACAATTCGAGAGCATCATTAATATTTCTCTTGACTGCCACCAAAATCACTCTCTGGCCAGCATAATGGGAGATATCCCCCTATTTTGAATGACCCACGAAAATGCTTTGCATTGGCACATTTACAAAACGCAACGGTGGGAATCCTGTTCTTTGGTAGTTGCTACTTAGAATCCATTTTAAAGCATTCTGAATAATAATTATAACAACAACAACAACACCAATTATGGCAAGAAAAAGAACCAGTATCTTCAGCATGCTGAAGTCCGTAAAATGCTTCTTCTCGTGGAAACATGAGGAGTTGAGTCGCTTGTGTTGTTTTGGAAGCGCCAATCTCTGAAGCATGCAGTTTTGGGGAGAATTTCTCATTCCAGGATACGTGTAGGGAAAGTGTATACTTGACACTGGGAGTCAAGAAGTCATCCTGGTTAACATTGGATCTCTTCATCCAACCGTCACCTATCACACCAACTGATATCTTAAGGCACAAGGTGCAGGGAAATCCAGTTTATGCATTGTCCCCTGGGGGAGCCTTGAGGTGCCTCTTAACTTGAGGTTGTCAGCCCTGGAGATGCCTCTGCTATGTGTTTAGGAGATCCATCCGTTTCCGAAGAGGAGCCCAACTGCTCCTTGGTCAACCCACAGTCTTCTTCTGCTTGGCTTTCCTTCAAGACGTCTGGCTGAGTTTGGCTGTTCAACTTTTCTTCTGCTTCGATTTCCTCTGAGGTGGGAATGGAATTTTTCTTTGGGCGGCCTTTGGGCTTTGTGGGTGCCTCCTGCCCTCCTTTCAGGACCTGGAAAAAAATAAATAAACAAAGCTGTTATGGCTGTACTATAATCCCATTGTCCAAGTTACAGAGAGGCGAATGGACCGATTTTTGCTTCTTTGTGTCGTCTCCATCTTAAGTTTATTTTGCTCAATGCCCTACATTCAGTGGTGGGATTCAAATCATTTAACAACCGGTTTTCTGCCCTAATGACTGGCTGGCTGGGTGTGGCCAGGGGGTGTGACAGGCAGCACTCTGTCTCCTGCACCTCCCTGGGAGCAAAAATGGGCTGGGCGGGGAGGGGCTGTGCCACACCCCTCCTCCTTTATCCTGTTTTGGGCCTAGTAAGCCTCCCTGCACTAAACTGGGAGCCAAAACGGGGTGTGTGTGTGTGGGGGGGCTTGTGCTGCACTCCCTCATGTCCCATTTTGGGCCTAGTAAGCCACCCTGAAGCCTCCTAGGAGCAAAAACCAGCTGCAGGGGGGCCGCATCGCACTTCCCCCTGCACCCCGTTTTGGACCTAGCAAGCCTGCATTTACCTGGGAGCCAAAATGGGGGGTGTGGGGACTTCTGTAAGAGGCGGGGCAGGGCCAGCCAGAGGTGGTATTTACAGGTTCTCTGAACCAGTCAAAATTTCCACTACCAATATGCCAGAACTGGTCCGAACCAGCTGAATACACCCTCTCCCTACATTGGTTGACATTAATGATCTCCTCCCCCGTTATTAACATTTTGTGCATTTTTGCCTAATTTACACATTTGCCAAGCCATTTCCCCTAATTTATCACATGCTCGCCTATTATTATTATTACATTTTATGCATAAAAATATATGCACTGTTTGAGAGGTGAGTCAGATATACAATTAAAAGCAAGTAGAAAACATTCTTCCCATATCATGAACACTAGTCATTGGTGCTCCAGGCAGCACACTATTTTCCATTTATTGATTTATTCATCCATCACATTTCTATACCTCCCATCTATCCCATCCTGCCATCCCATCAACATTTTACCATTGTGCAAATTCTGGAGACAACAAACAACTAGAGTCAAAATCACTAGACGTTTTTAAAAAAAAAGAACTAGAGGGAAAAAAATCACACCAGTGCCCAAAACTTCATACGTAACTTGGCATGAATTAACTATGGTATTGTTTTTTATTGTGGATAAAATAAAGATTTCTTTGTCAAAGGCTAAACATCCTTAGGCCACAAAGATAAAAACTATAAAAATAATCTTGCCAAAACAAAAAAACTGGTGAACCAATACACACAAATATTTGCAATACTCAGATGATGATTATAAAATTAAGGCGACACACTCAAAAACTCAATCCATGTTTATGTGTTTTACCAACAGAACTTCGATTGCACCATTTTGAGGTTGTGGCTATTGTTTGACCCCATACCTTATAAAGAATCCTGGTGTCCTTTATTTTTGGTGGGGTGGGTAGGCTTAATTATGGTTTTAGAGACACCTTGAAATCAACTGATATGTTCCTCAGGGCCAGATTCAATCTTGTTGAAGTCACTCAACCGACACTCAGTTTAACCATTATTGCTCCCTCCGAATTCCTTAAATGCTTACCATTTTTTTCCATTTCATCCTGCGATTTTGATACCAGGTTTTCACTTGGAGTTGAGTGAGGCCCAGTGACTGAGCAAGATCCAGCCTAGAAGAGAAACTATCTAGATTAATGAACAAGAAGACATCATCATTCATTGCCAAGACCTGATTGCACTGCATCTTATTGAAAGAGAGCAAATGGTTCATGCATTATTGTGTGGATCAAGAGACCAGCAGCTTAATTGGACATGACTAATGATGAGAGAAGACCAATGACTAATGATCAAACAAGCGCAATGGCCACAATATTGGTCATTGTAGGGTTTCTAAGCCAGTCATGCCAAACTCAAGAGGAAGTTAGTCTAAGAAAGTAAATGAAGGCCTGTGCTCTAAATTTGCTTTTTAAAAGCAAACATTTTAATTTGCTTAGGGATTGTATTAACTAAATGGTTCTAAGCATTGGGTTTACTTCTCAGCAGGGATGTCTTGCACCCTTTCTACCAGTTCTGCTTTCAGATTACGCAACATGAATTGTGTCATGCTGGTTCAGAATAAAAAAAGAAATTGGTTACATTAAGAATGACCCTGTAAAAAAGGAATAGGTAACTTCCTCTGGTTCAGAAGCTGTACTAGATTTTATGTGGCATGCTGAGAAGTGCACTGCAGAACAGGATGAAGCCAGTGTCCATCCTGAAGAGCATTTCAGAAGATTGAAATGGCATCTGAAGCAATTGAAAGATATTCACTATTTATTTTTCCTCTTAATTCCTCTCAATCTTCAAAATTGTCAAAGACGGTCCTACTTTTGGGGCCCAACTATTCTACTGGCTTCTGCGGGAAGGGTACTGACATCAGGTTTTTGTTGTTGTTGGTATTTGCTCCAAGAAGCCATAAATCTGGTAGGTGAGCTTGCCATTTTAAACATGTTTCTCTCCATTATAAAACCCTTAAGCTAAAAGTAGCTACAACAACAAATGTTTTCCTGCTGGACAAACTGTTGTATTACATGATCCACTAAAGAAGAAAAAAAGCTGGACAATACTGACCAAATTAAGTGTAAAATTGGTGGGCAAAATAAAGTTCTCTGTTGCATGTTCACAAGTTAGATGAGCTGCCTAAACAGGAAAAAAATTCATCACAGTTGTGAGAAACTGGGGATTAAAACATTTGATCTACTGTCTCTCAGAGATCTGGCTAAGGGTAACCAAATAAGCCTTTCTTTTTAGAGATAAGAAACTAGTGTGGCTGAGAAATGTTAAAGCAAGAATAGTTATGGCAAAAGACTTTTTATTTTACTTTGGCAAAGTAAAACTACTGGAGTTGGACATCCTGGCTGATCTATTGATAGTTGTTAAGAACAAGAGATCTTGTTCTACTTTCTTCTTTCTGACTGATTTTTAAGCCCAACATGGTCTTCTCTAACACAGCAGATAGCAGAGGGTATTCCCCTAATATCAGAACTGTGTTTACCTAATCATCAGAGCCAGGATGTCAGAGTGAAGCTCATGAAACTCACTGAACAAAGACACTTGAATGAAACTTGCTAGTGCTGCTCATGAGTTATGCCTTTTCCATGATTAATATTAGTGAACCAGAACATAAATGGTGCGGAGGCAACATAAACAAACATGATGCACCTTGTCTTGTTTCATGCACCAGCAGTTGCGCAACCAGTGGTGGTGAATTAGTCTAAAGTTTCTCAACCATTTTTTTTTCTTCAGATGCCCTGCCCAGCGTATACAATACGTTTGTTCCTTGTTTGCAGTTGTGGAAGAGTGGCAAAAGCATTTGTACTTTGTTTGGAAACAAGCGACGACTATATAGGCTGAGATCATACAATTTAGCATAGCGGGGTTAACAAAACACAGTGTAGTGTGCCCCACTTAACAGGTTATGTCCAAACAAAGGCATCATGTTGTAGTTTAATGTGATGATCTGATACATACAACATGCTAAGACAATGGTGGGCTTCCATATGTTGATATACAGAGATCCCCAAACATATTTGGTCTAATACAAATTAGATCTGGCCTGTGGGACTGTCCTGGAAACAGCGAAGAACTGGCCTGTGGTGCCTCTGCCAGAGAAAATACAGCTTGGGAGAGGCGTGTGTAGCACCCCGTGCTCCGTGTTTGGCCTCAGTGGCTTCCTGCAGCCCTCTGCCAATGAAAACAGATCCCCCCCAGCCTCACCCAGGCCACCACAGCTGCCCTCAACTCAAGTGATGTTGAACTGGCCATGCCCACCCTGGCCACGCCCACCCTGGTCACACCCACCCAGCCACCCAACGTCAAACACAACCTTGATGCAGCCCTCAATGAAATTGAGTTTGACACTCCTGGTCGGATATAACATACTGGATGAACCGAACTGAAAAATCTTGCAAGAGAGGGGATCATGGGAAGCTGCTAGGAGCACAGTGGAGCTAGCATGGTTCATGAGATCAGCAAGTCCACATTCAAGACCTGGGTGCCACTGTGGGACAGGGTGAGCTCTTGTCCTTCACTCCATCTCCTGCCAAGCACATGAAAAGAGCCTCCAGCTGCCTGGGTAATGGTGACGTCGCCAGCTCATCTTTTTCAATCCAAAAGCACCTTGGTGCTTCTGACATGAGTGCAATGGGATGGGAAGTCATTTACATTGAACTAGAAGGTCTCAACCAGTTTGGGCAAGGAATCTAAAAAACCTTTCAGCTCTTGGGGCTTCATCAACCTGTCATTACAAGTAATGGCTAGAGATTGTGATCTATCCTCCACAACTGAAAGTGCACTTTCAAACCATATTTATTTTGTTTTTCAAGCTGTCCAGAGCTGCAGGGGACATAGACAAGAAACAATAGTGTCATCTATCAGAGGATTATTATTCTTATTTTTAACTTCTCCACCAAGCAGACAAATCCCAGCGCTGTGATAGGGTGGAGGACTCACCACAATTTACTCCTTATCCATGAAAGTTCATGCAATCCTTGTTTAAAGTCCCCTGTGCTAGCAAGCCTAGGTTTGTATCTTAGGGCAGTGAGATTGATCAAGTTGGCATCTTCAGAATCTCCAAACCATAAACATTGCCCAGAAAATATTCTGAGAAATTGGATAACACAATGTATCCACCTTTTTACTGTGGAGAGGCCTTCTGAGAAAGTAGGTGTGCTCCTTCCTTATCAAATCAATCAATCAATTGATTCCCAAAGTATCACATATTAGAGGCGAGTCTTCCCGTTCCATTGAGGAAAAGGAAATGAGTCAGATTAATCTTCTCGGGCCAGATAACACATGCCTATCGTGGCTAGATTACCTGTAACCCTTTCGGATTGGTTGCTGACTTGTGGAAAACTACTGATGGCTGCCTAGGAAACAGAAGCAACAAACACAAAGTGTGAGGCAAAAAGCCACGAAATTACCCTTGCTCATCAGGCTTAGTCATGTACAATGATGAGCAACATTAACACCAGCCAACTCAGAGAGCAGCAACAGCCTGAGAATGTGATCAAGGGGACCATGGCTGACAGGCTCTTGAGAATTATAGGGACTTTGGGGGTTACAATTCAGCAAGATCTGAAAGCAGCGTGCTTTGCCACCTATAATAGAGGTGTCAAACTCATATTGTCATGTCATCATCACGTGACATGTCACAACTCCCCCCCTTCACTAAACTGGGGCTGGGTGTGACCAGCACACAATTCATCTGGCCTGCCAGTGGTGTGATTCAAATTTTTTTACTACTGGTTCTGTGGGTGTGGCTTGGTGGGCGTGGTGTGACATGGCTTGCTGGTGTGGCTTGGTGGGGGTGGCAGGGGAAGGATACTGCAAAATCCCCATCCCCTCCCCATCCCACTAACCTGCTTTCCAGCTCCGTTCTCCTGTGCAGGGCAACCAAAGAAGACCCAGCCGATCACCTGGGACTCGATGGGAGGCAGAGAATAGATGGGGACAGAGACAGTCAGAGGTGGTATTCGCCAGTTCTCCAAACTACTCAAAATTTCCACTACCGGTTTTCCATAACTGGTCAGAACCTGCTGAATACCATCTCTGCAGCCCGCGGCCGCAGGTTTGACATCCCCGACCTATGATGTTTAAAGCCACGCAAAGATTCAGAGATAGTTAAGATACTGTCAGGTGCAAGCAACCATGCACACGCACACACACACACACACACACACACACACACACACACACAGGAAAAACTCAAATCGACTATTTTATTGTATTCTACCTATCGTACAAGAATCTCCCAAGATTGCTTGCCTTTCCTTGGGAACAAACAGATCAGGTTCTTGGAAGTTCAGCAGAAGATCAGGCTTATGCCTCTTGTGGCTTTGTAAGGATTCAAGGTTAGTTTCCAGTTAATAACAACAACGTCAGCATATTGCCCCCAACAATCTGTGTCCTCATGTTACCAACTTTAGAAGGACGGAAGGCTGAGACAACCTGGAACACCGAACTCCTGGCTGTGGACAGAGTTAGCCTGCAATGCTTCAGTTTAACCACTGAGCCACCAGGTCTCTTAATCCCTTCCTCTTGGCTGGCTGGGAGTTCCCCAACGGATATAAGGTCAAACTATAGCGTTACAATTACCTGTGCAAATTGGGTGGATGTGCCTTCCTACTTTGATACTGTTGGTTCTTCTTTAAAAATAATTAAAATTATGCTCCATTCAGAGGGCTCAGCTTCACCATGGGTAATGGATTAAGCCCTTCCTGTTCTGAATTTCAGCACCCAGAACCCAATCTAGAATGAAACGCCAACACTTTTAATTCAATTTTTGAGCCCCTTCGTTCTGTCATTCATTCCATGGTTCTTATTATGCAAGGAATATTAGAACAATTGCCAGGCAGAATTGGTTTCCTTCTCTTAGCAACTCCTTTTCGCTCTACCCTGGCTGCCTATCTGCTCTCAACTAGTGCAAATAATTTGATTCCCCCCTTTCATAGGAAACCAGCTTCTAAGTATCGCTGCCCATAAATCCACCCTGGCAAGTATGCATGTATCTAGCACACGCACAGCCTGGTATGCATTTTCCACTGATATGATCTATTCATGTAGCCTTTGATTCTAAGGGAAAGTGTGCTTTGAAATCTGATCCGGTTATGAGTCCGAGCCTTCAGACAAGAGCAGAGTCATCTTCACATGCTTAGAAGGCATCATAGTCCACTCAGCACCTGAACAGCTGAGAGCTAAGGGACTCCACTCTGTTGTGGCTGGAAAGACAGCCTTGTCTTCAATGCTCACTCGAGAAAAAGACTTAAAACCTTTTAAGTCTTTTGCAGAGGATTTCCCTTCTGAAGGGGGTGGTACGGACGAGGCTCCAATGTTGCCTGCTCTTATAGAAGATTAAAACTAGGTATTTTGTATTGATTCAAAGCATCTGCCTGCTTAGTCTTTTCTTCCCTCTGTAGCCCATAAAGTAGCCCAACTTTGCCCTTCAAGGTTAGGAGATAATTTTGTGTGGTCACTTTTATTGGTTTTTATTGATTGGTCATTTTATTGATTGCGTTTTTATTGGCTGAGGAGTGGAAGGAAAGTTCTGTCTGCCTGCCCTTCCAAGTGCAAATCAGCCATTCCTCCAGTATACATTGCTCCGCTTGAATTTATCTAAATCTAGAACTTCTGAATGTCTTCTTTTCAAATGGTAAATAGAGAAGATATTTTCCCCACACCCACCTTTAACCTGTTAAACATGGAGCAGAAACAAAAAGACATTCTCCTTCTATGTGAGTAGTTCACTAATTGTTCGCCCACATGTCACCTAGCTGGGTCTACCCATTAGGCATTTGGGGCAATCATCAATGATAACAGAAATTAAAGGCTGTAGGGTCAGCTGCCTATCCAATCTCCTGCCTTTGAGAAGGCAGAGCTATATGTGCAACTGGAATAAGAAGGATAGGATCCTAATCTATCCATAGGAATGTTTAAGACATCAATGGCCACTGTTTGAAGAGCACCATGATTTGTGGATTACATGAGTACACAAGAAAGTTAAAGATAATTCTCATTTTGCAAACTCTGATTCTTCTTGGCTATATGTGACTTTGAGGTATAGCTTACTCAACTTTTCAGTCAAGTACTGATAATACTTCTACTTTTGGCCAGAAAAAGAATGGAAACTGATGAGTATTTACTTTTACTCTGGAGTAGCACCAGTGGTAGATAGGTAAAATATGTACAGAGTTTACAATAGTTTCTCCATGGATTGGAGACTGTCACTTACTCATTTCTCTCCTGTGGGCCTACATTTAAATACATGGACTTTGGGTTATGGTGGAGTTGTGACTCAGAAATCCAAGCCAGATTTAATCTCTCATTTGATTTGTAACATAAAAGTTATCTGTTAGTAACAGTAAGCTATTATCTCGCTGCACAAGTTTCCAAATTGCACTGGGATAATGCAATGAACAGGTGTTTTTGGTACCACTGTGGTACCTCTCTGTCCAGCTTGCAATGTGGAGGTGAAAATCATAGATTAAATGCAAGACATGTTGTCCTTTCATTTCAGAGAGAAACTCCTACTTCTAGAGAGAAATGGGGTAAAATCCCTATGAATATTTGTTTCTAAGCGATTCTCCACTTCCTTTTCCTCCAATTTTCTTAGATTTTGTAGAGGGATTAGGGGAACTTTCATTTCTACCATCACCATTTAGTCCTCACCCAGCCATTATTTTGAATGATAGAGCAGTAGTCAAAACTCTATATTATAATAACTTGGCTCATGCAGGATTTCTGCTGCCTTCTTAAAGGCCACTAAGTCTCACTTCATAAAGAGAAAACTGATACGGCCTCTTCTAATATTGGTATCCAGTGTAACCATTCCTGCTAGTCCTCAGGGTATGTATGACTCAGCCTTGAGTTCAACCCACTTTCAAAGATTCTCCAAAGCTGGAATATTCAGAAGACAATTTTACCACGCTAAGGCTGCATAAGTGATTGGTGGTAAATTCGTAACATGGAATTTGACACAGACATATCATTTTCAGTAGCAACTTCCTCTTAGAACCAGGCTAGTGCAGAAATGCAGAAACCTCTAAATGACCTCCAGATGCGTTACAAGCTAAGTCCCATGCTCCCTTGCCACTGTCCATGTTGGCTGAGGTTGATGGGAGTAGAAGTCCAAGACATTTTAAAAGCACCAGGTTGCCCATCAAAGCATCAGTGTCTTCTCAACCAGTTGGTTTGTTCTTTCACCCACCCTCCCAACCAACCCAATCTCTCCTCCACCAACCTGTCTGGGGTGGACAGATACTTCTGCTTTTGGAATTTCTTCTCTAGTCCCATCAACTGCAACTCTGTGAAGATGGTCCGGCTGCGGCGAGGCTTTTTCAAGGGGAGGATGGGCTGTTCTGTCTCGGATTCACTGCTTCCATGAGTTTCGTTGGCTTGGGTCTCTGAACAGATGTTTCCCGAAGGTGGAAGTGGTGAGAGAACCCGAGAGGTGCTCACTGCAGGAATGAAGTGAGAGACTGCTGAAGGCTGTCTGGTAATGACAGAGATGAGTGGATAAGCCCGGAGAGAAGAGGAGCCTGGGAAATAAACATCAGAAAGAAAGGCATTACTGAGAGAGGTTGGCTAGACAGATTGTTTCATCTTTAAGGTCCCAGATCTACTTTGATCAAGATTTGATGAATGCACAGTACATAGTGGATAACATAAGTACGTCAACTGGGACCACCGAAGACAGGATAGAGGTGATCCTTCTTTTTAGTGCCTTCATTGTCTTTCTTTTGCTTAAAAAAACCATGTTCCACATGCAGCATAAGCTTTAAGTGATTACCTACAGGCGGTGGTGGGATTCAAGTAATTTAACAACCGGTTCCCTGCCCTATGATTTCTTCCAACAACCAGTTCACCAAACTACTCAGAAAGAACAACCGGTTCTCCCAAAGTGGTGAGAACTGGCTGAATCCCACCACTGCCTACAGGCACCAATCGATTGGGGGTGGTATCGGAAAAGAGAGGATTTTATTAGTACAAGGAAGGTAGTTTCTCTTCCCTGTTCAAGGCTCTCAGTCCTGAATGGACCACCATGCGTTTCGAATTAAATATACAAAATCATAAAACTGGGGTGGAAGACATGTAGATTGCATCGTGATCTAGTTAAGGCCTATGCAGCTGTTCCAGCCTCTGACATGCCATTTGCTTCGATTTTCATCCTTAGAAATTAGCATTGGACAGTCCAAGAAGCAGAACATCAAGGCATGGCTGGCTGTTACTTTCTTACAACCTGAGAAGAAGCATTTATGGACTTCAGGAAATTCATCTATAGTACTGAAGGTAAATGAGTTTATTTATTTATTTATTTATTTGTCAATTGCTTACAAGATTACAGGTATAAGAATAATAAGGTATAAGAGTTTCAGTGCAGATATTGTAAAACCCCATTTCATTTTCTTCATTTTAAAAAGAAAATTAATGGTCTATTGGCAAGCAGAGCCAACTTCACAAATCAGTGTTCTAGAGGCTATTGTGAAATAAATATAATATACCTTACAGCTTGTCTCCATTGGAAGTTTGGACACATCAATTTATTTTACGTCTGGACTTGTTTGGCATGTGAAAAATTCAACATATCTAAAGCATGATATTATATGGGCATTATTGTTGTTTGCACTTCTCACATTTTATGCATTTGATACTCGAAACACTTTTGTAATTTGGAGCGTTCTTTATTCTGAAATGTCTACCTTTAATAACTGTTGGTACATTTTCTGAATAAGAGGAGAGTAAAAATCTACAACAGAAGGGTTTTGTCCCAGGTATTTAGAGACATGAGTGTGAGCCAAGTCAATGTACTTAAAAACACAAGCCAAGTAAATTCAGAAGCATGTGTTTGTGCATATGTATGCTCATACACTTTCCATGTTACTTGAGCATGGATGCTTGTAAATAAGTAAAATATTTAGGTTGACGAAGAAAGCATGGTAGCAAAATCATTTTTCTGCAAACAATGTAGCAGGAAAAACAACATAGTTTACTTAAAAACTGTTTTGCTATCAAGATTTTTCCATAGTTTTCAGCGGAGACACCAAGGAAACCACAAACGCCATTAAAAAGTAATAAATCAATGACACTCAAAATCTATACTCTCACACACACAACCACAAAGTCTGGAAGATTGAAATCATTACAGGGAAGCATTTTTGCTTAGCAAAGTCTTTCATCTTAGCACATTAAAGTCGTTGGGCTATAATGGTACTTTCCGTATTTGGGTGGGGTTCGAGGACAAGAAGGCCATGGGTGGCTGCAGTTTGGAAGAGTTAACACAACTTTAAGGGAAGGCGGTGGAAGCTTCATAATTAGCTCACGGGGAAATGAAAAATGTGAAATAACATTTAGCCGACACAGGTAAAAAGTTATGTCCAAAAAAATATACCTGGTTTTTCCTAACCTTCATCGTTCAATGTCATGGAAAAGGAAGTGTGTCTGCCTTTTTTGGGGAGGGGTGGGGCTCCCAAAGAGAAGAGCCATTTTGCTGAAGTTGCCACACCTGGAGTGCAAAGTTGCTCAAATCAACCGGCTGCCAATTGCCACGCTGTAACTGAAATCTGAACTCTCCGTCTCTCCCTGCCCCGATTTCTCCCAACATCCATGGTTTTATCAATCCATTTCAGGGACCACCTTGGAGTTATTTTCCCCATGGCTTTGAAGATTATGGTTTCCACCACTGCATTCTTCTGCTTTGGTTGTACATCTGGATAGCTCAGCTGGTAGCAAGGAGGAATTTGTTGCGTCTCATGATCCTTTAGGGTGGAGAGTGTAACTGAAACTCTAGGAGGGCCAGGGAGGGTGGAGAAGAAACCTCTGAAGAAGTTTGCAGTACTATGGCAACGAGGAAAAGATGGTGTGTGCTGTCAGTGGTATGATGAGTGACGAGGTCACTGGCAGAATGGTACATGGGGTTTATCCTTATCCTATCATTGCCTTGGAACAAGGCACTGGTAGTCATGAATGAGAGGACTCTTCTTCACCTACATTTCTCTCTAGAACATAATCATAAAGCTGGAAGGGACCTTTGAGGTCTTCTAGTTCTATCCCCTGTCAAAGCAGAAAACCTTATCACCATCTTGGTCAAATGGCTGTTCGGCTTATTTCTGAAAACCTCCAGTGATTAACTGTTCCATTGATTAATTGTTCTGACCGTCAGAAAATGTCTCCTTACCTCTAAGTTGGATCCCTCTTTAACAAGATTCTACCCAATACTTCTTATCCTGCCCTAAGTTGCTTTGGAGAATAAATCAAAATCCTCCTTCTTGGATACTGGAAGACAGCTATGATGTCCCTCACCCCATCCATGTTTATCTAGTTCCCTTAACTGTTCACTGTCCACTTCCATGCCCCGCTACCTTTGTTGCTCTTCTCTGCACACTTTATTTTTCATTTTTATTATTTCTTTATTCTTTCCTTCTTTAGGACAAGGTCACCTTCTGGTCAGTGCAACCACTTCTGATCAGGTTGTATTCGTTCATAAGTTTTCTCTTCCCTGATTCAGTTCTAAGCCTGAAAGCCAACACATTTAGTAGATAACCACCTGTAGAATGAACGTTTATCATTCAGCCCTTCCCAGAATCGCCAGGGAATCCCCAGACTGAAAATCCAGCTAGCTGTTTACCAAACCTGAGTTAGAAGGATTCATATTTCTAAGCGATGTAAAGTTATTTAAATTTTCGGTGTTTTTAAACTCATAAGCAAAAAAGCAGGGGAAAAACCTTAGGGCTGCCTTTCAAGTTAAAAGGAAAACAGTTAAAAAAAGATATAAACAATTAACCAAGCTTGGCAGATAAGATGTTGGCCATAAACTCAGATGACCCAAGCTCTATTCTGAGTTCTGACTCATGGCATGACCTTTAACAAGTCACTTTCCTTCCCCATCTCCATTTCATTTTCTGGCATCCCACTCCTCAAAATGCTGACTTGCAAATAAATCCCATTAATTGGAAAAATCATTGTTGTCATCAGTGTTCATCCCTCTACAGGTAGTCCTCAATTTATTACCACATTTGACACCAGAATTTCTGGGCTAAGCAAGGCCGTTTTTAAGGGAGCCAGGCCCAATTTTCATTTGGCCATGTTTTTTTGGCCATGGTTGTGAATGAATCACACAGTTGTTAAATGGGTCTGGTCCCATCCCCCCTCTGACTTTGTCTTTTGGAAGCTGGTTGAGAAGGTCAAAATGGCCATCATATGACTCCGGGATCCTGCAATTGTCATTAACATGTGTCGTTTGTCAAGCACCCAGATTTTGATTATTGCAGAGATACTGTAATGGTCGAAGTGTAAGAATTGGTGGTAACTCACTTTTTTCAGTGCCGTTGTGATTTTGAACAATCGCTACATGAATGGTTGTTAAGTCAAGGACTACCTGTATACTATTCTCATTTTGACAATCAACCTGCAAAGCAGGTTAATGCTGTCATCCTATCAGGGTTGTTTTTTATTCTCTCTTTCCACATGAGGAGTTTTTGTTTTTGTATGTTGAAAGAAACAGCTAAAGGTTCCCCGTAAAGCAGAGGTCTCCAACCTTGGCAACTTTAAGCCTGGTGGACTTCAACTCCCAGAATTCTTCAACTTCCAGAATTCACCTGTAATCGCCTTTCTCGAACTCTGTGAAGAATGATTTATAGGAGCAGAAGCTCTGCATAACCAAAGGGAACTCATGTGAGTCATACTGTTTTGCACTGAGCTGAAGGTAATCAGATCTGTTCCATCAGCAGGACAAGACTGGAGGTGGAAAGAACAAGATTTACAAGGATCCTCAATTCCTTCCCTCGGTAGCTTTCTTGAATGTCTCCAGGGGAATAAATGAATTGATTGGCCAAAGCCCACTTAAGTGAGTTCATGGTTAGGATGAGATTTGAAAGGTCAACGTCCTGGTTGAAGAGTCCACCATTAACACTACCTGGGCACAACACAATGTGCTAAAGAATAATAATATGAGTAGGACCACATAGAAGCTGGTTTGAGTTCCAATGAGAATTGTTTTGTTGAGAAGAGTAGAAATAATTTCCAGAAACTGGAAAAATAATAATATTAACAATTGGATTCATGTGACTCATCTGTGGTTGGAAAACAATGTTATCCGTGAATACAAAATGACCCAATATGTTTTTCTGTAGCAGATATTTTTATAAAGTTATAGAACCATTAATTTCCCCCCTAAAATAAATTTAGAAATCTGTTTGATACTTGATATGTTTGTTGGAGGAGAGGTGTTTATTTTTTGAGTTGTAGCTTTATTTTTAGATGATTGATAGACGATAGATAGATAAATAGATAGATGATAGATAGATAGATAGATAGATAGATAGATAGATAGATAGATAGATAGATAGATAGATAGATAGATAGAATATCAAGATAGACAGATACTAGCCATGTCAGGCCAAGTTTTTGTTCCAGGCAAAACTTGGCTAAATCTTTTTTTGGAACAAAAGTAAAAGGAAGGAAAGATTTATGGGTTGGCGGGTTGCTGGCATGTCAGCTTCGCTGGGAGGCAGAAATAAGATCTTGGCTGAGTGAACACTGT